AACTGGCCCAGAAAATAAAATTGTATGTTGATTTGAAATCAGGGTTTGCAATGTAGGCTACAGGGGTAGGCTATAAAAAAAATCAAGCATGACGTCGTCTGGCGCAAATTTGGAGAGATTGATCATGTTGATATAAAGGTTTCATCTTTTGAGCTGTTAACTGATACAGTAGAGTTTTTTTTTTTTTTTTCAGAAAAGGAAGGTTTATCTTGATAGGCCTATTGATGATCCCAACTATTTGGTTTAAGTGTACAGCATTAGCAGCATCTGTAACAAACTGGAAAATACCTGTTCACTCATTTTTGCAATTGATGAATAACAATTTCCTAGTTTATCTAAAAAAAAAAAAAATCATTCATTCATTTATTTCGTTCGTTCTTTCAATTATTCTTCATTCGTTCGTTCGTTTGTCCATTGTCCGGCCATACATCCGTCTGTTAGTGATTGTCCATTCAGTCGTTCTCGTTCTTTAATCCGATCGTCTGTCCATCCATCCATCCGTCAATTTATTACTTTCTGCATTTTCATTTCATCCATTCGTTCGTTCGTTCATCAGTCTGTTCGTGATCGTCAAATTAATTTGTTCGTTCGATCCATCCTCTATCCAATCATTTTCTTTTATTTATCCATATAATAAATTTATTCAATTGTCGATTTGTTGTGCATTCGTGTTCAAGAATTCGTTAAATCGCTCTTCCTTTTTAATTAATTATGTAGAGCATATTTTATTTAATGTTTTTTAAACAGTCTGAAGTAATTGTTTCATTTATACATAGCCTAATCAATTTAATTGATAAAAATATTAAATAATTTCTACATAGCACATTCGTAGCAGTCTCCATGAGGTTCATTTGGGATACATTATTGATAACGTACGTTGCAGCATCAGCGCATTAGAATACTTATATAGGCCTACATTGCAGTAGGCCTATTCACATTTACTGAACTTTTTTTACTAAGGTTATTTCCCCACACCTTATAAAACGTCAGTCCCACTCCTTTTATAACGTCAAGTGTGTGTACCTAATTTCCACACGTTCGATCCGGTCGTAGAAAAGAACTGGTAAAATACATGTCACCAGACCAATCAACATAGCACGAACTTATGCCATTTAATCTTCATCGTGACGTACTGCGACAGGACAATATTACTATCGTTGACGTCAGGGCGCATATTTGTAAACTTTCCCTCCTGGTACCATGACGTTAACAAAAACATAACATACTTTTAAGTATGTTATCTGTTATTTTATTGTCATCAGATAATAGGCCCATTGGTTTAGCCATTGTACTGTTGGCCTATCAGTGACCCACTTCAACAAACAACAAGCTCTTGTTTCAAAAAATGAAAAATGACATTCTTAGATCTTTTAATCTAGAGGAAAAAAATAATAATTAATGCAAAAATTGTTAAACGGATAACAATATGAAAATGTATATTTTCAGATCCAACATGCACTAAAGATGATCGATACACGAATTATAGCAGATTTGAAGACTCGTTTTTGACAAGCGCCTGATTTTGCCAGAGTCGGTTGATTAATTCTTTTTATTGTAAAGCTTTTAATACCTAATTTCTGCGCAAATGTAGGGCCTGTATTTTAAATAAATAACAGATAGGCCTAATTAGTGCTCCCACCAAAAAAATATCGTTTTATGGACTGGTTTAGAATTTGAAACAATGACAATGTTGGCATACCGTAAAACCTCGAATAGAAGCCGTGGGCTTCCTTGTTTTTTAGGACCCTTGAATGTGATTCTTTTATTTAGAGATGGGATTCTTTTCGAGCCCATTACGCTTCTATTGGAGGTTTTATGTTAGGCCTATGGACGAACTTGGAACAATCGACTCTTACGTATACCCCGCACAAAGTTTTCCACTCAAAAGTTACAAAGCAACTGTTCATATAGAAAATAAAAGAAATAAGGGAAGTTTTCACACTAGCACAATTCGATAACGATTTATCGTGTATAATTATGATAAAAAATATTTCCACAAATCAAATAAAATGACGTCATAATCATGGGAAAACGATAAAATCGTAGTAGTAAAAACGATTCTATCTTTTTCCATGATTATTTCTTTTATTTTCTATATAGACAATTGCTTTTTAGCTTTTTATCGTTGATTGTTATAGTGTAAACATGCCGTAATGTATGCACATTGCGTACATCTACACACATTTATGATAAAACAAAAACAAATGAGTCGCTAACATCATGTTACGAATGGTCATACACAAGTTAAGCTGCATTCACGTCGGATCAGAATCGAAATTTGGACTGTGCGTTTATGCAGCACTGGAC